GACTTCTTGAAGACAGTTGAGATCAGCAGCGGTGTTGTTTGGGGGAGTGACGCCGAGCGGGCACAGTGTCGTCGTCGCGCATTTGCCTACCAGGCCAGGTACGGGCAGCCCGCTCTCTTTGTGACGCTCACGCCCAACGTTGCCGAGTCGTTTGTAATGGCGCACGACACGGGCATCTCGTCAGTCGATACACTCTTCGACTCCAATCTGGCTGAGCTGCCCAGACGGTCAGCACTCCACAGTGCAAGTCTACGCAACGATGTTGCATCCGCTCGACTGTTCATGCACAATATGGATGCTTTCATCGAGCTCGTGCTCGGCACGCCTCCTAAGCAAATGAAGACCAAAGCCTTTGCCGGACTCTTTAGTGACGTCAAAGCCTACTTCGGCGTTGTGGAAACTCAGGGCGGTACATTGCATGCTCATTTCCTCATCTGGCTCGCCAATGCACCACCGAACACCGACGCATTTATCCAAGCCACAGCTGAACACGGCGATCAGTACTACCGCGACATCGCAGCTTACGCCCAGCACCTCGTTGCCGCTTGACGTCGCAGTGAGCTGCCATTTTTGCGGGCACTCGTTTGACGACTTGCAAGCGCTGCCGATACCACCTGAGGCGTACGAGAGCCCAAACGCATGTCGAGGCAGTGCTCGAGCAGAACCATTGCTCGTTCAGTGTCCTCAATGTGCCACCAAGATGAGCTCTCAGCACGTGCTTCGACGCGCTATTCTCCAGCAACGACCATCGACATCGCCTCCACAGTTGCGAACGTATTCGTCGGAGGAACTCAACGCTGCCGTGTATATGGAAATCAACTGTCGAGGCAGTGTTGGTGCAGCAAAGGCTGCAGTCTTTCATCGAGACATGATTTTAGCGACAAGGGACAGTGTCGACGACACGTGCGGTGAGTACTTGCGTACGCTGAATGCTGTACCAAACCGTAGCGAACAGCGTGAAGACGACGCCTTCTGCGACGACAACGTAGCTCAAGCTATCATGACGTTGCCGCCATCGGTCGAGGATGAGCGCTGGACGCCAAACGCTACCGCGTTCGCGGTGTCAATGCTCGTTTCCATGCTGAATCTCCACTGGTGGTCGCATGTCGGAAGCTGCTTCAAAAGTAGCCGCGTTTCCGCTCCAGGACAATGTCGGTATCGTTTCCCACGCGTGCGAGTTGCCAGCACATCATGCACTAGCGCTGGTGTCGTGCTGGCAAGGCGGCCACCGTTCGAATACATCAATGGCTACAATGCTACCATGATGCTGGCGTTCAAGTCCAATCATGATATCCAAGTCTTAATCGGCGGCTCGAGGCGCTCCTGCGCATCTATTATGCCACCAAGTATGCTACCAAAATACAAAATGAGGTCGACGCTGTCACGGCCGTAGCTTTAGCAGCTTTCAAGCGTCGAGAGATCCGAGAGCTGCAAAAGCAGACATCACGGCCGGAACACTCAGCGGTCGGACGTACTCGCGTTGCATCCATGGCTTTTGCGCTGACCAATCGACGGGAAATCGCAGGTCCCCTCGCAGCGCTGTATCTGCTGCGCGGCTCATGCGCATACATGAGCGCTTCCTGTACATCTCTCCCTCTCTATGACGTTTTGCGCGAGTTGATTCAGCACGACACGCATTCGTGCAACCTCGTCGAGCTCCAAGAAGGCGAGTCCAATGTCACGTTTCGCGCCGCCTCCTTCCTCGACGACTATATCTTTCGACCATTGTCGCTAGGCCGCACGAGCCTTTACGAATTCGTTATGACGTGGTTTCGCTGCAAGCAATCGAAGTCGACGGCAAGATCCGATATGTTTTTGATCGGCCAGCCACTCTATAGTACGCATCGCATAGGGCATCATCAACTCGAAGCGGTTCCAGTCATCACGGGTGCGCGCATGCCGTACGTGGACTCAAAAACACCTCTCGAGCTTGTTGTCAAACGTGCTCAGTGCGCATTGGTACGCTTCAAGCCATTTCATACCGTCCTGGATTTGGTCAGTGAACCGGCAAACGAGGCTGCATGGGTTGACGCATACTTTCAGTGGGAATCTACGCCGACGAGTTTCATTCGCAAAGTCATGGCGAACATGGATGATTACTACCATGCATCAACGTTAGCGCAGGAGGACGGAAAATCCGGTAGTAATCGCATAGATTATGAAGCTGATAGTGACGAGCTGATTGGGAGTCGCAACGATATTGATGGTGCCGTTGCCAACATGCAATGCGACAACGACACTTCCGTAGACGGCGGAAGAATCGACGATTTTTGCCATGTTTTCGCTGAAGACGATGCTGCTGACGGTGGAAGCCTGCCGGTTTTCCCGACTACGCGAACTGGTTCATTGCTGGCGAGTATTGTTCACCAAGGACTGCTGGGTCCGACAGCAGAAAGTGCAGCTCGCGCGGCAATTGATTTCGGCAATGATGAGCGCGAACCGGGTTTGTCAGTGGCAGAGTTGCAGGAATGGGTCAAGGATCCAATGAGCGACGAAGCTGAGTCTTCCTTGACCGGACTTCCATGCGGTGAACGGCGCGCCGACGTGATTGAGCTCATCCAGAGCGCGCTCAAGTCGGGCGGGAAGTGGTCTCCGCCAAACCAGCAGCATGGCTGCCCAACACCACCTCTGCGACCCTACCCTAGCATTAACGACGTCTCCACAGCATTCACGCTCAATCGACGTCAACATGTAGCGTTCTTGCTGATAGCAAGAGCACTGCTTCGGCGTTTCCAACAGCAAGAGCGTGCCAATATTCACAAGTCGGCTGACTATCGCGCTCACGACTTCGCGTCGCGACTACGAGACGACCAGCTACTCATGTTCCTCGGTGGGGCCGGTGGCACCGGCAAGAGTCGTGTCGTCGATGCCGTCAGTGCATTTTGCTCCGGTTGGCACCGCACCAACTCCCTTGTCAAAGCAGCATTGACTGGAAAGGCGGCCACGCTGATCAGTGGGCGAACGCTTGCAAGTTTTCTGGTACGGCTGGAACACGCCATAAAAATGAAAAAATTCGCGCCACTTGATCTGCTGCTCATCGACGAAGTGTCCATGATGAGCAAGGCTGAATGGGTCAAACTCGACAAGCTTCTCCGTCGATACATGCAGATCGAGAACATCCCGTTTGGTGGTATTCACGTCGTGTTGGTTGGTGACTTTTTGCAAATGCCGCCCGTAAAGTCAGACCCAATCTATCTAGACCCCATCGGCAAGGCAAAGCCGAACACGGTTGACGTCGGAGGGTTCGAGCTCTGGCGCAGGTTCACGGTGGTAATTATTCTTGACGAGTGCGTGCGCTTTCGTAACGACCCCGAATGGGGAGAGGGCTGCCGAAATGCGCGCCTAGGGCACTGGACCTCAGCGTTCGTCGACATGATCAACGCGCGCGTCGTGCGAGCCACACACGATCGTGATAACGTGCAGCATCTTCAGGATGAAACCGTGGCCTCTGTAGTTTTCGTCACACCGGAGAATTCGACGCGGTTGGCGATCAACAATGCGTTCATAAAGGAAACCGCAGCCAAGCTACCAAACGACGTATACCCTTTCCGCGTGGTCGCAAATTTCAAGGGCGCGCTTAACGGTCTCAGCCGGAGCGACCTCTGCTACGTGCTAAGTCTCCCAGATAACAGGTTCGGTAGGATGGCTCCATTCCTCGATCTAGTACAAGGAATGCCCATTCAGGTGACTCAAAATGTAGCCACATCCAAGGGTATAGCGAACGGCACGCTTGGAACGCTCGAGTACGTCCACTTCCCTGCGGGCACCCGTTATCGACTTGTTCGCGACGGCGCCACTTCCACGGTCGTCCAACTGCCAAGTCAGCCTCCAGACTACGCACTCATTCGCGTGCCGAGGCCACATGCTGCTCCGATTCGACCTGGGCATGACCCTGCGCTCTTTCCAGTGTTTTTTACAACGGAAGCGTACACGAAAGCCACTATCAAACTGATAACGGCTCCAGATGGGCAGCCGCGCTACGTCAAGGTACGTCCGCAGCAGTCCCCTTTGCACGCGCGTTTGGATCGACTGCATATAAAGTTCAAGGAGAAACACTGCAGTCCATGATTGTCATGGACTGGAAATCGACGCAGCCGCTGGTCAACAAACCAACACAAACATACTTGCTTGTCTCGTGGGTTACGACTCGCAACGGATTGATCGCACTTAAACCACTAACCCCGAAGCTTGTGGAGTGGTCGAAGCCGTCCGATCACGCACTCCGTGATGAAGAACGCCTCAACAGTCTCAGCAGCGCAACGTTGAGGGAATTTTACCTGCCACTGATCGCCGATGTGGAGGACCAATGCCGCAATCGAAACGATCCTCAAAGTCGAAATGAACCACAACAATCAGATAAGTAGCGATCACCTTTGCACGAACACAATTGTAAGCGAATGCAACCACACCATGTGCAATAAATCAATTCATAATGCTGTATGTCGAGCTCACCTGTACGGCTCCGCTATTGCGAGCTATCCATGGATCAAACAATCACTCCGCGACGCGCATCCTCGCGCTCCACCGTCAGGAGCCATACACAGCGTATCACATGACATCCTTCTCCACAACCACCCCTGTGCATGCCGCCTAGTCCGGCCCTCAAGACACGATCAGCAAATATTCCTGCAGACGTCACCCTCCATACCAGGCATATACACATTCACTCACCGCGTACGCATATCACCGAGCTACGGCGCCGGCCACCCGTCAGCTCCCGCACCCGCCGATTTCCCGTTCCGATCTGCTCTGTTCGGTGCCTGTTGCCTTCTCTTGAGAAATCCACTGCGTTGTTGCATGAATGATGAATGTAGCGACGTTGACCGTCGTAAGGTTGACCGAAGGTCGTACGGTCACAAACGGCCGCTGACCGTCGAAGGTTGACCGAAGGTCGTACGGTCACAAACGGCCCTAAGATAGTTCTTCGAACTAACGAAATAGTACTTCGAACTACGAATTAAAATACTCCAACTTCTTCACATGTCAACAACAGACGGTTGGTCATATCTTGGTAGTTGCATTTGCACAAACATGCTACTCCCCATTGCTTTTGATCATACGAACGAATACGCACACACGCCAACTTATACGGCATCCATGGCAGGTGTGGGCACTGCGGCTGCGGCAGCTTTAAAGTTGTTGCTGGAACTACTGCGTGGCACATTAGCTGATCCCCGATTTGACCCCGTCGATGAAGGAGGTGCGGACCCATTTACCGCGAGCATCTCGCGCCGCTTCTCTTCTACACGCTTGGCGCGGATCTTGGACACAATGTCGTCAACGTCGCCAGTCTTCAACGCCGCAAAGCTACTCTTCTTTTTCTTCAGTTTGAGTTGCTCCAGACGCTTCTTGGTCTCCTCCTCACGCCGGATCCTTCGCTCCTCAGCAATGCGTTTGCGCTCATTGTCACGATCAGCTGACTGAAGCACCTTGGCGAATGAATAGAAGATGGAGAAGAACGCATCGGGTCCACAGTCTGGACTCGACGGATCTTCGCCGTAGAACGACGCCGTCTCCTCAAAGCGCTTCGTCATGCTCTCTAAGCCCTCGGCGATTTGCTCGGAAGCTTTTTTCGCGCGGTCAGCGAAAGGCTTGACAACCTCCTGGAAGCGATCTGAGATCTTCTGCGGTTCCTCCTCAGAGTCTGCCACTGGATTAGGCTGCGGGTACTCCTTCTCTGGCAACTTCGCGTGCACTTCGAGTTCGTTGCAGATGAGATTCGCAGCCTTGCGTACTGCACTTTCGCCTGCCTTAAGCATCTGAGTGGTTACTCGACTTGCGCTCTCAATGGACGGAAGCCTCTTGTCAAACTCAAGGATCGCCGGGTCCTTAGCACGCAGAACCTTAGCAACGTAGTTGAGCAGGTTGAGCGAGTTATCAGCAGCCTTCACCTGATTCAGTTTGAGCAGAATGTTTAACCTGAAACCCTTCGCCCCGCCGCGAGCTGTGCCATCATTCAAAGCGTTTCCAAGAGACAAAACAACTCGGAAAATATCCTTGAGAGGCTCGCAATCGTGTAACTCACGACACGCGTTCGACACCGACTCCATTAACTTTCGCTGTTCCCCTACGTACGCGTCAAACTGCCATGTCGCATGAATCGCTTGCAACCGAGTGGTTAACCGGGGCACACAAATCATTTCGCGGAAGTACTGTTCTGCATCACCCAGTAGCTTCGGATCACCTGTGTAACCTCGTACAGCGTCCAGCTCCTCGTCCTCAGGGGCAAACTGAAGCAGTGCAGACACCCGCTCAACAGAAAGTAGATCCTTATCCACCAGCAGCACCGCATTCCGAAGCTTATAGTACGGCAGTCGGAACCGCGCTAGCATGATACCGATGTTGTTTGCTCGTTTTGCGTCGATCAAAGCTACACGAGTGGGTGCTCGCCGCTTCGTGGGCTTCTTTGCCTCGGTCTCCTTTGTTTTGGCAGGCTTGTTCACAAAAATGTCCGACAATTGGTCGACGAACTTGTCTAACACGTCCTTCTTGGGCTTCGGCTTCTGATTCTTTGCTCTTGCAGCAAACAGATCTGCGACGCTCGGAGGACCCGCAGACTCCTTAGTCTTGTTCTTCTTATCCTCTTCTCTCGCAAAACATTCCCAAATCGTACCAGTAGTTTCCTCGCTCTTGACCGCCTCCCAGTACAAGTTCCGGAGCTTAGGCTTCGGAGGTCCCGTCACAGCAGGTTTCACTGGTGCCTTCGGAGCTGTTCCAGACACATCCTCTGGAATCATCTTATCCGGCGTGTCTAAGACTTTCGGGTCCAATGACTCTGCGCTCATCTTGAGCTCCAGCTGTGGGCGTGGCATGCCCATCTTCAATAACTTAAAATACTTGACGTAGCTCGGGTGTTCGGATGCCATCACAACCTTCTTCCCGCTGCCAGCTTTAATTTCCTTCCCATCCTCGTCTACCAGTTTGTCAGGCGCATCAAGAAGGTCGCCATCCAAGCCCTCGGACGCTGCTTTAAGCTTAATGTGGGGTAGAGGCATCCCCATCTCTATCAGCTTAAAATACTTTGCAAACTTTTCGTGCTGCTTGACAGGAACACCCTTTGGAGCGACATCCTCGCCCTTCACCTCCTTGCCGTCCGCGCCAACCAACTTATCGGGCGTTTCCAGCAGGTTGGCGTCGAGACCCTCGGAAGAAGCTTTCAGCTTTACGTGCTCCATAGGCATTCCCATCTTGAGCAGCCTGAAAAACTTAGCAAACTTCTCGTGATCCTTCACAGGTGTTCCCTTGGCCTGCGTGGCTGGAGCCCCGTCCACCTTCTTTCCGTCTTCATCCACCAGTACATCAGGAGTAGACAGCAACTCTCCATCTAAGCCTTCAGCTGACGCCTTCAGTTTAATGTGCTCCATAGGCATTCTCATCTTCATCAGCTTGAAGAACTTGGCAAACTTCTCGTGATCCTTAACAGGAACTCCCTTTGCAGCAGCTCTCGCAGCTGCAACAAACTTGCTTCCATCTTCATTTACAAGCACGTCTGGCGTCGATAGAAGCCCACCGTCCAACCCCTCCGCCGACGCCTTCAGCTTGATGTGTTCTAGAGGCATCCCCATCTTCAATAACTTGAAAAACTTAGCAAACTTCTCATGCTCTTTCACAGGGATTCCCTGAGAACCTTGTTCCGACTGTCCAAGAACGAAAATCTTACCATCTTCATCCAGAAGCTGGTCAGGTTTGCTTAGCAACGACGCGTCAAGTCCTTCAGTCGATGCCTTCCGCTGAATATGCTCAAGAGGCATACCCATCTTCATTAGTTTGAAAAACTTGGCATACTTTTCATGATCCTTAACTGGGATGCCAGTGAAACCTGTGCCAGCTGCACCATCTTTCACTTCATTACCATCTTCATCAAGTAGAAGATCTGGTGTCTCCAAAACCGAGCTGTCAAGGCCCTCCGCCGACATTTTCAGCTCAATATGTGGCATCGGCATCCCCATCTTCTTGAGCTTAAAAAACTTTGTAAATTTTTCGTGTTCCTCAGCTCGCGTGCCCTTCTTCTCGTGAGGTTTCGTCAGCTGGATCACCTTATCTGGGGTCTCCAGAATTGACGGATCAAAGGTTTGACTTTCGCTGCTCATCTTAAGTTGCACGTGCTGCATAGGCATTCCCATCTTTAGGAGCTTGAAATACTTCACCAGCTCCGGGTGATCGTGTGCTGCCACACTCGAGGCAGCATCCTCCTCATCAGTTTCGTCAGCAGTAACGTCCGACAGCGCAAGATCCTCGTGGTCCCGGTCCTTATTCTCAATCAGAATGATCGGGCCCATGCGAAATTGAAACAAGGGGTCTCCGTCAGCACATTTCTGCAAGAACTGAGCATACCGGTCCCGCATTTTCAAAAGCGTCTTGCGGTCATCATACCCCAGCTCGAAATTGCGGACTTCCTCGACTGGAGCCAGCAAAGTAATCTGCTTCATGACCTTTTCAGACAGCGCCCACATTTCCTTTCCAATCACGCGATCGCCGGGAATAAAGAGCAACTGCTGTAGAATTGACAGAAAGCAAGCTTGGAGCTCGGGGTCGTTCGCCACACTGTCAAAGAGAGACTGGTACACACTATCCACCGAGGCCAGATCTGTGTGCTCATATATCGTGTCTTTACGATCGTCCTCCATGAACTGTTCGAACACATCGATCTGCTTCTCCATGTTGTCGAGTTGGTTCCGAAGTTGCGTCACCGAGCTGCTGATAATGCTATTGCTCCCATTCCCAAACCGCGGCCCAGCCTTGCTGTCCAGTGGAAGCGAAGAACGGACGATTGCTCCATCAGGAGAAAGCGTTCCTGGCTCCCGATCTATGGGCGAAGGAGGTGCGCTCTTGCTCGCTGAAAGACGGCCGCTTTGATCGTCGCCCTTGCTTATTGACGATCGGCGACCACCGAGAGTCTTCAAGGAGTCAAATCTACTCAGAGGGGTCCCAGGATCCTTACCACGCCCAGTTATAGGAGATAAAGAGGATCGAGAGCTCGAAACAGGCGAGGGGGTATTCCTTGCAATGTGCTTGTTCGTGAGGGGCGAAGGAGTCGCGGGGCCACCAGGCATTGGAGATGGAACTCCGTTGGACGTTTCTTCAGGCGAGACACCCACAGCGGAACTAGCGAGGGGGTACTTAGTGCGTTGTACAGCAAGAGATTTGGCACGAATCTCTTCGAAATAACCAGCCATCTTAAGCGCCATAAAGTCGGAGCGAATCGCCAGTCGATCTTCCAATCGGATGGCCTTATTCACGATAATATTCACAAAACTCAGCACGTCTTCCTTAAACACCAACGAGTACCGTGTCGACTTGAGCGCATCACGCAGACAACTGAAGCGAATAGCCTCGCCTTTGGTCTCTTTGTAATGGTCAAACGCCTCAATAACAGCAGAATGTCCAGCCGCACTATTGTAGCATACAATTCCAAGCAGCTGCAATGTATACTTCTTCACGTCACCATTCTCCGTGTGGAAACACAATGCTACGCGCTTGACAAGCCCCGGAGTGTTGGTAATCGCCTCCACTCCTGCGGTAAAATGCGTGAGTGACCGTAAGATTCGCAAGATCACCTCACACACGCGCGTAGCCTTCTCGTACTTGGAATTTTCAATGGGAAATGGAGACGGGTCTGGCAGCTTCATAGTAAGGTAGTCCAAGCCGAAATGTGCCAGGAAAGACTCTAACCAGTCCGTCGACACGATCGAGATCTTCGCCCGAAGAGCCTCGAGTTCCTTCAAGCCCTTGTTGTCCCATTTCAGCTCCACCAGATGCTCCGCAAACTTTTCCGCTTCCATTGCGTTCGATTTCGTGTTGTCTCCGTTTTCATTCTGCTGCGCGTACCACACGACGTGCCATTTGGTCTCCAGTGACTCAATACGAATCAATTCGTCCATCACATCTTCTGGTACTCCACGTTTGGACATTAATTCCCGATACATTTCGTCAACGGTGTCCCATTTGGGCGGCCGAGGAGGTTTCTCCTTCTCCTTGGGGGCAGCACCGCCTGTGGGTATCCTGGTGGCGAAAAAGTCACGAAAGTACTGCAATTTCTCATTGAAATTCGCATCCTGAACAGGATTTGACATGGAGATCGAGGACCGAAAGAAACTGTTGCGTCGTGGCTTAGACGACGTGGAGTGGCTGACGTCCTGTCTCTCGGGCTCGCGTCGAAACTCCATGGCGAGAGGCCAGGCCGCTGGGTCTTTCTGAAGCTGCATCGCGTGTTTAACGATCTGCTCGAATGGCATGTCGTCTATTGGCGTCTTGTGGATAATCTGCAGGATGTCGCCTACCTTGACGCGGCCCGTTGACTCGACGTATCCAGGTTTTTCGCCTTGTAGCGGACGAAAGCCCTTTACAACTGCGCCGCGCTGCGGTTTGTCCCGTTCAATGTGTCGCGCTCGCAGGTCCAGTCCCAGTGGCCCTGGGCTTGGCACTTCCACCCGGAACACAAGTGCGCGGTCGTTGGCATTGGGGTCACTACCGAAAAATGGGCTACTGCTGGTGATGGACATGGAGGACGGCGTGCTCGTGAGCGAGTTGGAGTTCATGAGATTGGGAGACTCACGCGGCGTGTTGCTGCCACCCAGCGATCCGCGACGCTTGCGCCACATCTACACAGCGCGCTGTTAAGGTTCTCTCTTGGCAGAGGGTCAGAAACCAGCCAAGTCCGTCACAGGTAGTTGGTCAGTGGAAGCACAGATCTAGTCCGGGCCCTCGTTCAGCTGGGGTTAGCTTTGTGCCTTGCAAGCGGGTCTAGTTAGAGCTGGCGGGCACTTAGCTTTCTAATTGAGCTTTGTGTGAAGGGAGCAGACGAGGGTCCATCCTTGTTTTACCAAAAATTTGAGTTCAATGTTCATTATTTGGACATGCAGATTTGGTTGGCTGATTCAGAATGAAAATATTGTTTTCTGTTAATGAAATGCCCACGATTGGCCAACTCAAAACGAAGCATAACAAGGTTTTTGTCTACCAGGAAGTAGCATTTAATACTACCAGTTTGAACGAACCTGTGAACCCACAGCAGCTGTTTGCTGACTATACTTCCTCCGCACTATCGAAGTTGCGGTGGCGAGTCCAGTCCTTCTAGCTTTCTCAACCCAGTTGCAGTCATGTGCATTCTGTGCTCGAGCGATCCCGTTGAAGATGATGTACGCAAGGATAACCCAGGCGCCTTCCACGTGGGAATGATGCAGGCTCCCGGTGCTGATCCCATGTGTACGTCCCGACGACGGTTTTTCCGCAGAGTCAGCTCCAGCTAACATGGCTCTTGTGTATTGGCAGGCTGCTTGGGCTCGTGCCTGTGCCCCTGCTGCGCGCAGATCATTATCCGACGCAAGGCGCTCAACTATGATATGACCAACTACACGTGCTGTCAGGGCTACATGGACGGCATCGTGCCGTGCGCGCGCTCCGGCCGTTGCGGCGAGTCCAGCTGTCCCAACGGCTGCCTGTGCCTTGAGGTCAGCCAGTCTGTGGTATCATTTTGTAGGAAAAAAAGTTGACTTTGGATGTTTTCTTTATGCTTTGCTGCTTGTCCAGGCGTTCTGCTGCAATGGTTGCGCCGTGTCGGCCACGCGCATGATGGTCATGGACCGCTACCGCCTGCAGCCGGACAAGTGGGACAACCGCATTATCGTACGTGGTGCTGGGGGGGGGGTTGCCTTGAGTCTTCACCGAGAGAGAGAGGGAGGGAGAGCTCTAAGTAACGGATGTGCTGCTGTTTTCGTTGTTGTGCTGTTCGTAGCGATGCAACAACTGCATTCAGCTGGCCAGCTGCATCTGCAGCCTTCTGTCCATATGCATTTCAGAGCTGGGTGACCTCGCGGATATCATGAATTGCATCGCGCAGTGCACGTATGCCACCACGCAGGGCTGCATGACTGCCCAGGTGAACGTTGAACTTCGGGAGCGCGAAAAGGCCTTCGAGGTGCAGGACGAGACCATGGACCGCGTTTAACCAGTTCGCACCTCCAGTCTTTGCTAGCGCTTTAGTACCGATGCCGGCGAGAGTTTTTCGGGGAAAGATTATTTTGCAGACATACCTATTGCGCGTAAGCTTGCTTCAAATACACTTCCATTCCTGGTGTGTTCAGTACAATGCCGATCTACATGTCATGTAAATCAGCAGTGGCTCATGAACTGGGCTATAATAGTGGTTACTAAGCTAATGGGACGGCGCTACTGCAACTTGGCAACGACAACACAGCAGCTCTTATAGCAACGCAACAGACCACATCGCCACAAGCAGAGCCACAGAGAGCAACATTAGCTATTGTACTGGCGAGATGAAATGCACCACCATTTTTTTGTTTTGCCCATAAATACAAAAGTAGCTATCGGATTAATGTCAGGAGACCCGCAATGGAAACAGGGTAGCAAAGAGATCACAGACAAACACATTTTGTTTTACTTTCTCGTCTTTTATTATTTTGGTGGAAGCTCAAACGTCGGGAAGTTGATGCTGATCATGCATGCACAGAGCATTTCTCGCGATATTTAATAAACGAAAAAGCCTAAAGTGACAAGCTTTACGCCAGAATGCAGCTTGGAGTGCAGCGCATCTGCATAAGTTAGTTTTAGCTACAGGAGCTGCGTAGGGATGGCTGGATGTCGTGTTAAACTCATCACCGACAACCCCACTTCCTTGAACGAAATGTGCATAGACATGGTTATTGTCGATTGTATTAAAAATTATAAAAATAAGTACCAAAACATCTGATATCATATGTCATGAACATAGCCTCGATTTTTTGGGCGGAACGAGATATTCAAGACGGATTATGACTACTTAAGAGAAGAAACCGTTATCTTTCCAGCAAAAAAGCTCATATAAATTGAGTAATTGGGTGAGGCAAAGTTTGGTGGTGCATTTCATCTCGCCAGTTCAATAAATAAAATACATTCGTGGCGTAATTTATAATAGATATATGACGGGAACCGGAAAAGTTTCTGGTCCCCTATTGTGAATTTCTTAGTAGATCGCAGTCGGCCGTTTTAAAAGAAGACAAGAATGAGCGAAGACGACATCAGCTACGCTACCCTTTTTAATGCGCGCTATTGCTAGTCATCCAACGCCTTCGGAGTATCTAGAGCTCACTGCAGCTAGCCGTGGTGAAGCGGAGACTCTTCAAACTCACCAGACCAAGCTTTGCCAAAAGCTGCTTCAGTCCCGGCTTCAGCAGATTGAACTAATGGAAGGAAAGCTTGAAAAATTGGCCAAGTACACGGCGAAGCTGCTAAATGCGCACGATGAGCTGTCTACATTGATCTCACTTGAAATGGAGGAAACCACCCGCATTGAAGCCGTGGCGGGGGCTCCTGTTCGCTGCTCAAAGTACGTCATGTCTTACTCGGTTGTGCTGGAGGAGTGTTGCAGTTCAATCTTTGACCACACGCAGCATTGAGAATATGAGGACCAGAACGGGGTTATTGAGTAAGAAGTTTACAATTAATTGGCTTCCGAAACACAACATGTTACATCTTAACAGTCGCCAGTAATTCCAGATCTGTGTCTTGGACCGCCTTCGCTACCTTGTTTGTTCTCGTGGTTACCTCGGGTTGCCTTAAGATCATCCACATAATGCGAAGACAAATAATAGTGACGTCATCATGGCTTACAGCACATCGGGAAAATTGCAAGCTATTTTTAAGCATCGTATACACTTGGATACACGGCAAGAAATTCCGTCGGGCTGTATCGGTCCGGAAAGCCACACAGTCTCCTCTACGATTGGATATGGCTCTTTTAGCATGGTGGAATCGTGCCAAACTCTTAAAAACGCGGCCACTACTGCATCGTAGGTGTGCTCAAGAGTGTCGTTGTATGACGTAGAGCACAGTGGTTTGTAGAAATACGGTGTGACTGTCGCCATCTCCGTCCGGTATGAAATATTGACAATAATCACACCCCAATGTATGTCGCTCAAATGAACAGGCAACCCAACGTACTTACAGCTCTCAATAGAAATTTCCGGTGGCCTCGGATAGCCCAATGACGGTGCGAATGAGTCCAAAGCATAGCAGCTACCAATCGATTCGCAAATACATCGAATTCCAAGGCGATAATCGTATCACTCAGCATACGATCTCGGGCAATCATGCCAGCCATTTTCTCCATTATGACCGTTCCCTCGCCATAATCAAGCCCAAAGATTGAGCTTAGACAAGCGCTTTCCAGTACACGCACGATGTCGTCCGCCAGTTGTTGATGTCTCCCGGGAACAAGTCATGCATTAGAGCAGCAGTTCCGGTCTCCTCGTCGAATATCTCCGGGTGTGCGGGGATCTTTTTCCACTTTGTCGATAACAGCCAGTTCACATCTGCCATCGATGAATTGTACTTCTTGACAATACTGAAGTACTCAACGATTCTGTAGACCCCACCACCAGCAACAACACAGAAAGCAACGCATACCCGTGAGCAACACACCCAGCAGCACAGAGCTCCAGCAACACATGAAACAACACATGAAAAGCACAAACCTAGTGAAGCGCGGGGTACCCACAGGAATGAAAGCTGTGGACCCCTCCAGATATTCAACATCTTGATGTACATTGAAGTACTTTGATCCTTGAGGTTTCTTCTTTTCGACCGCAACCACAGCGATCAATTTGATGACAAGGTTCTGAGGAATCACGAAATTGTAGTCATAGTCAACCGTACAAACTAATCCACGACAGCTGCGAGGAGTTCGGGCGCCCATGAAATCGTCATCCATGATCACAGGGTAGTTTCCGAGTATCTCGCTCACGTGATACGGGTCAGTCGTGTGGTTCCCCCATTCCAATAGTCGCGAAAATGACGGTACGTTTTTGTCCGGAAGCGCAATAGCAGCCAGTTTCTGGGGCCTTTCGTGCTTTACTAGCTTGCGCTGTGTCAGCTTCTTCCTCTTATTGTGTCGAGGCTTGGGATGAGGGATACGAAGAACTTCGAGTCCGCAGTTAGTGGTGGCTTTCGCTTCACTGCACTTCCTGGGTGCATGTGCAGCCGCTTTAGTTGGCTCATTGTGAGCTTCGAGACGCGTATCGTTTTGGTGGTCGGCCGACGGTTACGCTACTTGGACCTTCTGCTTTCCCGTGCTGATATTGACACGACAACTGACATGTGAAGCAGACACATTCAATGTTTGTGTTGCACTCGGTGCTGGTCCTTTTGTCATCGTAAATTTGTGTATGGCTTCATCACCCGTCTGAGGTGCATTTGGCGGTTTCATCTCCCCGATAAAATCCATCGTTTTAATAAGTTCTGTGGGCTCAATTTCCGATGCGGTGTCCTGCGTGAAGGTCTCCAAGGCGTTCTCCGTGGCGTTCTTCGTGACGGGGATACCCTTCGTGTAGCCGCGTGTCAGACTAACGTAATCAGGCGGGCGTAAGGTGGAGCGACGTCCTACACACACCAAATCAGTTTATATCCATCACGGCGTCATTTATAAGCCTAATTCCTGTGTTAGCGACCGACTGGGCGAGCGCCACACCCACTTGTTTCGACCCCCTCCTACTGGGAGCTCGCTTCTTCTCGTCCTTCTTCGCCATATCACCGTTGTATTTTTCTCCCGTTCCTGGAAATGTCGTACTTTGTCGACCACAAGATTTTCCAAATTTTTAGTCTAAGTGTTTGGCTTCAAATTCGCGGAAGATAAACTCGATGAATTACGGGACAACACAGCAAGCTGCTGCATTAGTCTAAACCATATATCGTGTAATTGTGGTAAAGCTGTAGTAACGACTCCGAACTGATGCCGTGCGTCGCCCGGGAAGCTCTGGATATTACATTCGAGCAAATTACAAAATTTATACAACGAAATATCTGACGATCACGTTAGACATAATCTACTGTGACCAGGGCTCAGTAGTAGTGGAAGTTCTGATTAGTACAGTAGTGATAGTGATGTATGCATAACTCGATCTAGAAAATATAGATTTGTAATGTGTTAGTAGTTTGCCTGACGGCGATATCACTATCACTACTATTTCCACTACTATTATCACTACTAACGAAACTGAAATGCTACTAAATACGATGCTTGCTCTTTTCCATGTGCTGTTGAGGCGAAGAATCAGCTGTCGTTGGCACGCTCGTTATCGGTCCTAGTGCGCTGACGACTCTTGACGAAAGATCCAGCCGATAAAACTTTTTCTTGAAAGGCAGTTGAAATACTACGGCCGAACCACACACGAGCTAGTTTTGCGACCAAAGGGAAGAACTTCTGCCCTGTCTCGACGTACCAGCGCCACACATCGACATGCTGGTATACATGTTGCACTTTCCATGCACGCTGACCGTGTTTATTTGGTCCGGTTAGTTTTGGTATCATCTTCTCCCACTCGTTCTTATCAGGAAGCAGCTTCTTCACCACATCCTCCCAGGCAACCCGATAGTTCAGCCACTCATCTAGCCCCTTAATCCCCGCGGCTAAGAACGCAGAGACATCATATCCAAAGGTTTCATAGTGGCTGTCGAGAATGTCGTTGTATGTCTTGTTGGATGGTAGCGTCATGTCTGGATCCCCCGTGAGAGTGTGTACCATTTCACGGAGCGCCGCAGCTGTCGAAGTATTGTATGGTAAGCCTAAGTACACATAAGTTTGTGCACTATATTCCACAGAGTTTCGTACGAGCTCGCTGGAGGAACATGTGCAATATCTTTTGGTACTCTATTCAGGACTTCGTGTTTATCCTCGAGCTCTTTTTCACCCTGTGCACGGTCGATTACGGTGGCTTGACTACATGTCAATTAGCAGCTGGGCGTAAGCTCCTCCATGTCAGCGTCCTCTCCGTTGAAGAGCTATTTCACGCACTTGGAGCTGCAGAACCTGCTCCCATTCAATGCTAGCATTACAGTAGCGTTTATGGAGCTCATTGCATCAAGTCACATCTTGCTGAGGTCAGTGTTCTTCGTGCGCAGCTCGTTACTGCACAAAAATTGACTAAGGCGACCGCACACACAACACGGGGGCGTTTCCGGCGCGTATTGCCTGCAGCATTCTACATTAGCACACCGCATCAGTTGTGGCTTTTGCTATGCGAATCTAGAAGTGGGGAGAAGGAAAAAGAGGGAGGCAGTTGCGTGCGAGCTTGAAGGACTTCAATGGGTTCACGG